TCTTGGACGGCTAATTTTCCCCCAACAAATTCTTTAAATATGGTCCCTTTTATTAACCTAGTGCTCGGATTAGGGGAAAAATCATTAACCTCAAGCCCTAGACATGGAGCCCGAACCAATGACATCCAAGTCATGAAGGACATTGAGCCATAGGCCGTGGGCCATGTAAGCAGGGCGTGTATGAACTCATCTTTTTCGGGCAGCCATCTAGAGAATCTAACCTAGACCCCTGATTAGTAAACCACTCCCCTTAATATGGATTATAATAGGGATCCTAATAGTTGGGCCCTTAAAAGGAGGGGGTTTATTAATCATGGGTCTACATTCACCTATATCTCAGATCCATCACCAGATCATCTTTGCATCCCTGAGACCGCCAAAACCGTCCTGAAAAAAAATGCCTCACCCATCCCGTGGTTTAGCAAAACATCTTTCGCTAGCATCTGCATCTAGACACTGGTCCAAACGGCAACGTTCTGAATGAATGGGATACATGCGGATCATGGAGACTAGCGCAAGTGCTGAGAAGGAGCACGCAATCGGGGCCTGAAACTCCTGGATTTACCCCAGACGGGACTTCAAACGATGATGCCTGAATTTGAACTCCTGACACGTAAGCCGAACCGTATAAAGAGCGAACAAAGTCCCTCTAAGCAAGAAGAACCCTAAACCCTAAACCCTTATACGTAGAAGAACAAAGATGAACGCTCTCGGACATAAAGATGCATCCGAAGATGCTGTTCACCCACCAGAGCACTAGCAGTCACCATGCATACCCTATAATCCCTATAGAACCCATGCTAGTAGTTTCCATTTCATTTTCGATTATACCCCTATTACCCCAATATATACCCGATAATCCCTATAGAGCCCATTATGAAGCAGAGTGTCGCCAGAGCAGCCTATTGGTACTCCACATGTTGTCGATAGCGATACACAGGAACAGACAAGACAACAGCAAGAATGGCCATTCTGAGAAGACTAGCAAATCACCAAGAAGCAGTAAGTGATGGGACCAGTCTTTTGAGGACAGTCTATCGAATGTGCGTTTCAAGCTCTTAGCCCTGTAAGAAGCAGAGATACACCTCTCCCCTCTGTTTCCTTCCCTTGAGAGCCTTACATAGAGCTCATCACATAAGTTATTGCGGCCATCTTCCATCCATATTGTCCAGATCTACACTGAATTTCAGGATGTCGCTCAACAACAACTCCTTTGCAACCCCTGAACCTTCTGTCTCCTTTGCCCAGGAGCAAGGAGGGGATGTTGTACCACAGAGACTCCACATCCCAGCGGGCTTCAATCATCTTGCTTTCAGGGTTGAACCCTGCCGTGGTGCAAAGTAAAGCCAACTTGGAGGGTCAGGGGGATCTTAGTAAGTGGCTTAATAACGGGGACAAGTAAGGTTACCATATGGGTTATAGGGGTTATTAACCTACTTACTAAGTCTCCCTGACCCTCCAAGTGGAGGTTTTGGGGTTGGGGGTTCAGGGATTCGCAGTTAGGGTCTCAGGGTTCGGCCCGTTCAGGGTCTAGGATCGGGGTGTAGTTCAGACAGTGTCTAAGGCTTCGGATAAAACTCCCTAAGCCCAAACCCCTAGACCAGGTTTTGGTTAAACGTCCCCATCTAGAACGGTCCCTGCTTTGTGGCTCGCCTCCCCACTTTTGCATGGAAAGCCAGTAGACAGTATTCCTTGAAGGTTCATGGGTAGTTGCAAGTACTGGGGATGAAAATGCACATGGACGCAGATGTAACCCCACCTACATCTCCGTGATCCTCCCAAAATCGGGGTCCCTCCAAAAAGCCCAAAATACCACAACCTCCCTTACATCCGCTAAAAAGACACCGTATTGTTCTGGAACCGCCCCAGATGTGAGTTGTGTGCATTGAGGATGAGAACGACTGTAGGCACTCTACGGGCGAGCGGGTGACTCACCAACAGTAGGGGTTTGGGGTTCAGGGTTTAGGGTTGGGGTTTTAGGGTTCAGGGTTTGGGGCTTAGGTGTGTGGTTTTGGGTTTATTGGGGATTGACGGTTTGGGTTTTGGGGATCAGGAACCAGAACGTTTGCATTGGCTGTCGGCCTTGTTGTGTGATGCAGTAACTGACTGGTTGTTAAGGAGAGAAGAAGTGGATCTCTGTGGTAGTCCATATGATATACTCTGCAAAATGCGACAGCTTCGATTCAGACAAGAAGTCGATCTCTATAGTAGGACTTGTAATATACTCTCCCAAAATATGACAGCTTCCATTTTCTGTGCCATGGGTTCATTCCCTACTAACAGCCAGCCACTATATAATCCTCACTAATACAATACCTTCCTCCTTCTTTTTCAATCACTTACAAACACCAAAAAAAGTTGATACAACAATCCCGCATGTCCCGGAGCACTCTAAATCTTGGGAAAAATCATGCTAAGGTCATGTAGGTTTTTTGTATTATAGTCCTCCGTAAGTAAATAGAATATGGGGTATATGGGGATCTTATTGTAACATACGCAAAAACCATATTCTATCTACTTAAGGGGGACTATGACCCCATGTACCCCTTTACATCCATGGTTTGCAAGTTGTTTTCCATCTTCTTTTCCATTTGATTCTGCGGTATTGATGGTAATTTCATCCATAAGCCCAAAAAATTCAAACCGTAAGCCCTAAACCTCTAAACGTCAAATCCCAACATATGTAGCAGCTTCTATTGTCTTTTCCATTCCTTTACTCTCGGGTACCAACGAGCAAGGAAGGAGGCTGCCAGTTGGGTGGAGGTTGGGGTGGATGAAGGTTTAGGGCTTAGGTCTTTTGAATCTAAGGATCCACACCCAGACCCTCAAACGAATCCCAAAACTATATCCCTTAAAGCTTAGATCGATTTGGGAAGGCTTTTGAATCTAAGGATCCACACCCAGACCCTCAAACGAATCCCAAAACTATATCCCTTAAAGCTTAGATCCATTTGGGAAAAGTATATGGGGAGTACATGGGGGCTATTCTGGGCTTACACAGGGGATCTCATTTTCAGATCTTTCCAGGGGCCTGGCCTAGGAGAACCAGTCTAATCCAGGAAGATCTCAAAGACTAGAGTGGCGAATGGTGGACCCATGTCTTGAGACCGTAAACCCTGATCCCTAAAGGGCATGCGCATTCCAATTTTCTCTGGAACCCAAGAATTTTGAAGCATGGCTTTTGGCAGGTTTATGCCACATCATTCGTGGGTGGAAAGTAGCTTTGGAAGCTTGAAGCCCTAATGCATGCAACATTTACGAGCTCCAAGTACAAGAATTTTGGAGCCCTCGAGATGTAGATGCCGCGCTTCTCGTTGACAGAGAGCCGCTACATCAAAACCCCGAAAAACCCAAGCCACTGGCTCATCAACCGCGTATTTCAATATCAGCTTGGACCAACGCTTTCAGGTTTTAAGCTAGTCAGGGTTTTGCGGCAAGCCGAGTTGCAAAGCTTGTCATCACCCGAAATTTTCGGATATGGCTCCTGGCAAATCTGTCTCTTCTTGATCACTTCTCCCAAGATTACAGCCTGCTTTGATAGTAGAATATGATTAATGGCAACCTTGAGAGCAGTCCCATTTCAGGGACCTTTTAGGTCTATCTGCTTACTGGCGGTTAGTAAGGAATAAGGGAATGGAATGGGATTATGTTCCCCTATTCCCTACTAACCCTAAACCCTGCACCCTATGCATATATGTGTATATGTATATTGCCTTTTTCCTTGCTAACCCCCTGTGAGCATGGAGTTCCCGTAAACCCTAACCCCACATAACATGGGGTTCCCATCTGAATCCGGGAAGATGTCGTGGCTGGTGAGCAGTTTGTTGCAGGGCTTGGAGATGTTAAGGGCTCAAGCGATAGACTGTATAAATACTAATAGCAGTATTACTAGCATTAATACTACTAATAACAGTAATAGTAATAATATTTGTAATAGAATAGAAATAGCAGTAGTAATAGCAGTTCTAATCATAATGAGAGTAGCTGTAATAATCATAGAGACCACCAAGCCCATGCTGCTTCACTGCCTCATATTTTGTCCAAAACTCCAGCGCTGCGTGTAGGTAAAGGGCAATGAAAGCAGAATTCCCAGGGTCAAGCACCATGCCCTGTTTAGGGGTTTAGGGTTTCTCCCTGCGGTCAATGCATGTCCCCCATGTGGTAGTTTCCATAAAGACGTGGGTCCGATATACGTCTAAAGCGATGATGATCATCATTAGAGGGACACGCCAAAGCGGGCGCTTTTTTTTTCTTTTTTTAAACCTCATGTCATGCCTCAAATTGCCCTAAACCCTAAACCTAAGCCCCAAGCACACAACTCTAAACCTTCAACCGTAAACCCCGGCCTCACCCATCTCCCTGTGCCAATTGACGACGGCAATGCGCATGTAGCCTCCACTCAAGATCTACAATGCTTCCGTGGCTTACAGCGTGCATGGGGCTTTGGGTTTCAGGTTTGGGTACTACACCCTAAACCCGGGTTTAGGGCTTAGGGTTTAGGGGAGTACAACCCAATGAGGTCGAACACAGGGAGAACTGCAGGGGCCTGAATCTTCAGCAAAGGGCCTAAATAGCGAGAGACGGGGTTTCGGACAGCTTGTATTGTGACTGTACAGGGACTAAAGGGTAATGTTTTTGGCAATCATCCAGTCTGCCACTAAGATCTTAAAGCACTTTTGGACACGAAGCCCTAAACCCTAAACCCTGAGAAGCCTTATCTCATCCCGGGTTGTTCGGCGTTGGGCTAATCACCACAGGGCTAACATGGGCCTGTACCTGTTTCCTGGGTGCTTCCCATGGGTTGGGCAGGGTATATACCGGTATAGAATGGTCCCCGGGATAAAGGGCCTTCAAAATGTGCATGGTACCGCAAGCCATGGCAACGTCCCAGAATCTCAATCCGAAGTGCAGCTAGCTTGCACTGACGGGCTGTTAGAAAACTTAAGCTCGGCCACAGTTATTTGCTTAAATAGTAAATCGTAGGGTCGGCTCATTATAGTCGGAAAATTTATACCCTAAACCCTAAACCCTAAACCTACATTCCCTAGCAGCAACCCAGTAGAATTACACTGCAAGCGTAGCTGACCTTCCACTTGCACATGCTCATCTCCCGAGTCTGCTGACAATCAGAAAGCATAACGCAACTGACCAGACCAAGTTCTGTGGAGGGTCAGGGGGACTTAGTAAGTAGGTTAATACTGGGGATAAGTAGAGTTACTATATGGGTTTTAGGGGTTATTAACCCACTTACTAAGTGCCCCCGACCCTCCAAGTAGGGTCTGTGGAATGAGCCCTTCTCTGAATAAGGGTACCCCTAGTAGACCCTATGGGAACCTAAACATAAGGCGTTTGTGTCGTATTTGGGAACTTTTGGTGCTTTTAATTGCCCGCTCTGGGGATCATGTATACGATTTCGGAAGTACCCAGAGATTGTCAAGAACCCTTAGACTGAGTTTACATTCATACCTGCATGATTTAAGACTTCCTCAAGATCACCCTGGACCTAGAATCGCCCTACAATCCCGAGAATCACCGAATCAAACACATATAGCCCCCCTTAAGTAGATAGAATATGGGGTATATGGGGATCTTATTATAATATACCCAGAGCCATATTCTATCTACTCAAGGGGGATAAGGGGGGCTATAGTCCCAGGTGCGCATCAAATTTTCTGCATCTGGCTGGTCTGGAAGTGGCTGAAACCTCAGTTTGGGCCCCTGCTTGCAGGGTTTAGTTGCGTTTAGGGTTTAAAGTTTTAGGGTTTAGCCCGTTTTACTCAACCCTGGCTGGCTGTTAGAAGCTAGGTTAGCAAAAGAAGGAAACCCTATCATGTACCGTATTGCCAGATTCTGGTATCTTGATTTAGGCTCCTTCGGTAAGTTTGTTAAGAACAACCCAGTAAACCCTAAGCCAGGAGCCCGCGCTTGAAGATGCCAGGCTGTCTAGAAGTCTAAGATTTCCTTTGGTTTAGGAGACTTCTTGAATTCCACATGTGGTAGTTTCCCAAAATAAGGGGACCCCAATATATACCCATATATACTATAGTCCTTATTATAGGGAGCCCCAAAAAGGTACCCTACTTTAGGGAAACTCCCATGGTAGCGGGACCTCCTGGCGAGCTAAGAGGACCCCTGCCAAGCTGTTCTTCTTCGTTGAACCTTGTTGAGGCTTGCGTAGGCTCAAATTGCTCCAGGGCACCCTAAGTCCTAAACCTCCCAGAGTGAGAGCCTCTGATGAAACTCAGGGGGGCTTTAGACACTGGAACCACCAACTCCTGCACCTAACCCTGCCCACTCCCTAGCGAAACCTCAATGCAAATGCGTGTGATGCAGAAGCCCATGTAGTTAGAATGAAGCTTTCAGGTATATCTTTCAATATTCGTACATGGATTTATTTCAGGGGGATAAAATGTTGGTTGCTCCCTCATCTGATCAGGCTTTGTTGGTGGTTGAACCAAGCATACGGTCCCCTGTGACAGGTTTACAGAGGAATTGCATAGAGAGCCATGCCTCATCCAAAGTCTGCTTCAGGCGTCATTACTTGGAGGGTAGGGGGACTTAGTAAGTAGGTTAATAACCCCTATAACCCATATAGTAACCCCACTTATCCCCATTATCAACCTCCCTACTAAGTCCCCCTGACCCTCCAGGAAGGGACCGTGATCCCTCGTAGTGATCATGCACGTGTCATGTTGTGAGCCTACAAGTTGATCTTGCTGACTCAACTTACTAGGGGTTAGTAGTGCAAAAGAAGAAGGGCAATGCTATATAGAGTATATATGTATACATAATATATATATATAAGGATTTTATCCTCGTTTTCCCTACTTACCAACAGTAAGTCAAAGCAGCCTATCGGAAACGAGACGTCTTGCAAAACCGAAGGCGTCAACTCTACAAAAAAGAAATTGTACGCAGTACGCTCCTGCTATGCGGAAAATCTGCGGAAAGTGCTGGCTGGGATGTAGAGCTGTTGTGAGAACGCAACTTGCCCAACTTCTTCTTACTCCAGCTCTGTGGTGTCAGGAAATTGGCTGCTTCACCTGAGGTGCATGTTGGAGGACATTGACTGGCCTGATGTGAAGTGGAGTTTCCTGCAAGTCTAAATCTCAGTCAAGATGCGCATCGTCTTCCTTCCGGGATGTGCCTTTGCGCCATGCCTCTGCCCGCACCCACATCTTCCCCCGTGCTACTCTTGTCCTCACTCGCTCTATGACAGAATGGTAAACCTTTTCTTGGTGGTAACATAGCTGCCTACATCCCTACACCTTAATGAGTTCCTAGACCTTGCATTCCTTCATTCCTTCATGAAATCTCCAGGGCACCAACCTGAACCCAAAAACGCTAAGTGGGCTAGTCCTGCTACAGATGTTGACGGTCTAAATTCGGAACTACGACTGGTTTAAACTAAGTTTCCATAATACATTATATACAGAAACCAGTAATGTTTCCTTCTAACATTAAGTAAACTCAAGGTCCTTACCAGCAGCCAGGAAACGGAATGGTTCCTGGTGTTTACCAGGACAAGTAAAGGTATTAAAAGTCGTGCAAGGTTTAGGGTTTAAGTCCATAAGCCCTAAGCCCTAAGGGTTTAGGGACTCTCAATCACATGCAGCAACAGCAGCCATGGTCGTGGTTGTGGTAGTGATAATATGAGCTATAGTCTAAACCCCTAGTATAGTATCCCTCGTCATAACCCCTAAAACACTCCCCTATACAATCCCTTATAAAATCCCCTTCAAGGAGTTTAGACTATAGCTCATGTGAACCAACCCTAAACCCTAAACCCTACACGGCGCACCTCAAACTCCGCCGCCAACGCGGTCTCCAGGTGGCTTATCGCCTGCTGCTGGATCACCGGAGCATCCTCACTTCATGTGAGCTATTGTCTAACTCCTTCAAAGGGGGGTTATATAGGGTATTGTATAGGTTTTAGGGTTTCAGGTTTAGGGATTAGGGTCTAAGCTCCTTAAGGGGGTTCTATCGGGAGTTATAAAGGGTTTAGGGTTTAGGGTCGAATGTCCTTAAAGGGGAGTTGTACAGGGGATTATATAGGGAAGTATTAGAGGTGTTATTGAAGGGGGAAGAAGTCAAAAAAAGGGGATACTAGGAGTTTAGGCTATAGCTCATGTGTTTAGAAAGGCTTAATGGAGGGGCCTTCATTACCTACAGAACTCCCATGTAAAATAAGCCATTTAACTTTTCGCTCTTTGAATACTGGGTTAGCGGCTTGAGGTTAGCAGCGCGCCTCGACAGGATTTAAGGCGGGTCTACAGGTCTTGGGCGTTACGGTTTAGGAGTTCGGGGTGTTCGTGTTTAGGGTTTCTGCTTGGAGGGTTTAAAGTCTTGAACAGTCTCTATGAGGGACATTAAGGGATGATGAGTTCTGATCTGCCTATAACTTGCAACTTTCCCTACCTGGACCCTCAAATGGCTTTCAGGGTCAGTTACGGATCTAACGTGCATGCGTGTGTGGCAAAATTATGCGCCCGGTACAGTTCTGAGCATAAATCACACTACATTTTCAAATGCGGACTAGTTACCCAAGGAGCCCAATACCCCTTAACTAAGAGAAGCCTAGTATAAGTTTAGGTGATATTCCTCAATCAAGGTGTTCGGGTCTTCTACGCACTTTGAAGTTCAGGTCAGAAGATTCTAACTGGTCTCTTGTCAGAACCTTGAGTCCACCTGCCCCGTCAACACGAAGAGGCGTTGGAACATCATGGCTCGAAAGATGAGTTTGTAACTAGCGCCACTTAAGATATCTGAAATGCTGTGTTGTCTTTTAAAGTTTGTAAGGTATATAGAGTGCTGCAAAAGTCTCTCCATTCACAGTATGCCCGTTCAGGCAGCTCTTGACGCTGTAAACCCTCAACCGTGTCAATTTTTGAGCTCGGCCTCAGAATAGACACCGCAGGAAAGCAACCAAAATGACGGCGGGGCCCCTTCTGTAAACACTCAACATGCCCTAGGCCTAAACCCTAAACCCTAAACCGCGTTACTAGGCGTCAGAGAAGAAACAGCGAAGAAACTAGGGTGGCGCAAGAGCTTAGCTCATTAGAATAGGGTTATGGGGCATTTAAACTGTATATATTAGGTGGACCCCCCACCCCGTAATAGTCACTATAGGGGATAATATGGATTATATTAGGGTCCTATAATATTCCTATAATTCCACTATTACAGGGTGGGGGGGTCCTCCTTATGTATACCAGGATTCTAAGTTAATAATGTGGGTGACTATTCCGGCTTCTGCACGCACATTAACTCCAAGTGTTGCCCATACACCGTAGGTTGAACGTCCCTTCAAGTTTGGGGGTTAAACCCTAGACCCTTAAGGCTTTGACTTTCTGACACTGTTACCCACCCCCAAACTAACATGGAACCTCCAAAGGGGCCCAGGAAAGGGTTTAGGATGGTTTAGGGTTAAGGGTTTGGGGTTTAGGGTATATTGTCCCCCCTTAAGTAGATAGAATATGGGATATATGGGGATCTTATTATAATATACCCAAGCCATATTCTATCTACTTTAGGGGGACTGTAATCTCTTGTAAGGAAGGCTATGAGAGGTTCCATGTTCCTTTGGGGGAAGGATTCTCCTTGCTGCCAGCTTCAATAACCTCTTGCAATGCCTTCTTGGTAGCAGCTTCGAGGGAAGGGCCTCGAAGGCGCTCAAGTCTACCCTTCCCTCTGTGAGACAAATCTGGAACCTCCTATGAGCTACGGACCAAAGTTAGGTTGGGGGGACCTACAGGGGGATGTATAGGGAATTTAGGGGGCACTTTTCAGGAATATGCGAGAACTTCAGTCCAGACATCATACAATCCCCTTCTACTCACAATGGCAGAAACCGTTTTGCAACCCCTTTGGGGGCTCCATGTTTCTGATGCGGCGTGCGGGAGAAGCCGGGACTGCAAGACGTAGGGCTTTAACGCGGATTTCCCAAGCAAGAGCAAGAGCGACATAGGCGGATATGGGGTTCTGCGAAGTATTGTTGCATAGTCTAAGGCCAGGTTGCTTACAGCGGGTTTGAACCTTGTGGTTGTATACCCGTGAGCTATCAACCCATGGAACCTCCAGTGAGGGTTTCCCCAAGCCCTAGTTTAGGCTTGTAAAGGGGAGCAGAACCCTACATCCCTTTGATTGGCATTTTTAGGGTGCCTGCATGAGGTTTCCAGATTTCTACCCGGGGCTTAGGATCATCGCGTGCATTGCAGCGCTGAATGTTCGGATTCCATACCGGTGGGCGCTCAGGGCTTACTTCCGGTCCGGCGCCTAGACGGCTTACACTAAAGGATATGTACAGCCCGCCTAGAACAGGGAGTTGGAACTTCGGTTTAACCCAGACTGAAAGATCACAAGCACAAAAGTGTACACTGGAGATGTTTGAAGCATAAGTTCAGAACCTTGCTTGGAGGGTCAGGGTGACTTCTTAACAACGGGAATAATTGGGGTTATTGTGTGGCTTACAAGGGCTGTCATGAGTTGTAAGTGTACCTAGTCGTTCTCCAACGGGAGCCCATGTAACGCGATAAGGACATGTAGTTCAAGAAAGGCCCAAAATACACGGACCGCTGTTCCTCTGCCCTATTCTGGGTCAATGTCAATGACACTCCAGTGCAACTAAGACAAAGGCCTCTCAAGCCCTCACACCCTTCAACTTGCTGGTTCTTAGTCGGGATCAAGGGAATATGATCCCTGTATGCTAGAACTGAGAACCAGCAAGTAGCCCGAGCCGTCCCTGAATGTCTCCGAACATGCTCCCATGTAGCCCCCACGTATGCCATAAGCCTGTAAGGTCAAGCGGCCGAAGTCACGGAGGAAAACCGCAGCAGGAACCTGACGAATTAAAGAAAGGTTTGCCTTAGTTCTAGGACTCAGTACTAGAAAGCAATATTGGGAGCTCTTGGCAAGACTTCCTCTCTGTATACACATAAGTCTTGCTTTTAAAGTGCAGGGTGATGTTTCGTAACACGACTTAACACTTTCGCACTAAGCTTTCATAGTACTGTGGCATGATTGAAGCACTATTCCGCACAGGTGGATGAGACCAGACCAAGACTGGCAAATATTTAATGCTTTTGCACGAACCCATTCCGCGGCAACAAAGCGCACATGATGCTGAACTTCCCCGGCGTATATCTGGTACGACTGCTACATAGTGAGGGTTTGGGATTCTCGACTACACAACCCTTGTTCTTCAGAATCTGAGGAGTCAATTCCCCCAACTCGTCCTAGGTGCTTGAATAAATCGAAGAGGGGTTTGCTGTACATTGTACCATGACAAGAGTAGAATTCTTGCAGTATAACATTGGCACATTGGATCCGTTTTTTGGAGGAGAGCGGGAGGCCAGGGCAAAAGTAAGCTTAATCACCAATACACACCCCAAACCCCAAATCCGTTTCCCACCCTACCCCTAAACCCTAAATCCTAAGCCCTACGCCCTAAACTCTAAGTCCATCTCCCACACCCTATGGGACGGCCATTTATGTGCTGGTCTGCCTTGAAGCTCGGCTCCCGCGTAATAATCGTGCGTACTTTTCTGGGTTGCTGCTAAGGAATTAAACTTAAGTTACGACAACAAGGATGGGAACCCTAAACCCTAAACCCTAAACGGGTTATTGTAGTAAGGAAATTGTGCAAAGCTTACCGAGATGAGAGGATTTAGGGTAGTAACGAAAACCTATAATTTACTACATGCCCATATCATGGTAACTTACTTCAAGTTCCTTAACTAACAGCAACCCAGTTTTTTGAGCTGACGACCTGGCGATTTCTGATTCATAAGTAGGGGCGCTTACACTCTGGGACCTGAACACGGGTTGAGGATTTAGGTTGGGTACTGCCACCACCCTGTAACAGTCTGCATTACGGGCCTTATTGCGCAAGACATATGAATATCTATATATATATATATACCCACAGAAATATACATATGAATATTATCCAACTGTTACAGGGTGGGGGCAGTACCCAAGATTCAGGGTTAGAATTTCAGAAGCACACCGAGAGTGCTGAAGGTCAAACGGGCACGGGAGCATCTGAGCTAGTTGCTGAAAACCAGAAAACCTAAACACTCAGCACTAAACCCTATTCTCTAAGCCCCTAGACCCTAAAGCCTGAATCCCCAACACTGCGCATGACGAACCTTCATCGTCACACTGACATGGCCGCCCCAATAGAAGTTCACCAAGTCGATCTTTGAGATCCCTTGGATACTCACCTGAAGGAAAAGCTCAGGGTTGGGGGGGTTCTAGGACTCAGGGTAAGACTTGGAGGACGTGGCATGCAGTATTTAGAGGTTTAGAGTTCAAGGCTATGAGTATTAAGTTTAAGCTTCAAGGGCCCTCCAAATCCTGGAACCCGACCTCAAACCTAGAGTTTCAGACCCTAAACCCTAAACCCTAAAACCTCAGACTATGGTGGATGGTAACTTGAACGTCTCTCCTTCAGGAGAATATCCCATCAGCTCCTTCCAGCACAGGACCCCACGAAGGATTGCAGGTGTTTAGCGGTTTAGGGTCTCAATCATCAACTATACTAATAGTAATAATAGTAAGAATAATAGTAATAATAATATAATAATAGTAGTAATAGTATTCCTCCTGCAAGTTGAAGCATGCCCCTGCTCTAAAAAGGAAAATGTCTCCTACGCATCTATCTTGATCGGGCTAAGGGAGGGCCCTCCTTACATTGAAACGAAAAGCATTTTTGCCACGGACCCATGGACCAACAACTACATGAGCTGTAGTCCAAACTCCGTATCTCAATAGGACCCCTCTCTATATATCCCCGCTCAAGTATTTCAGACTGTCTACTGATCCCTGGACCCCAAGACCACAAACTCTGAAACCAAGTCCTGAATTGCAGATGTCAAGTAAGTTTCCAACGTCCTAGAAATAAAACCCTAGAATATACAGAGTTTTCAGCCTAACGCTTAAGCAGGAAGCAGTCTGACATCACCCATTACAACAGAAAGCCCCTGTAAAGAGATCACCAGGGTTCCAAAACATTGGGGGCCTCTGTGGGGATTGAGATAGATAGATAGATAGATAGATAGATAGATAGTAGGGATTAAGATAGATAAACAGATATATATATATATGTATACACACACACACATATTGGGGTTGTATATCGGGGTACCAGGAAACTAGCACCAAACGATGACCCTACAGACCAAAGCCCTTGCCCTAAAACCTGTGCCTAACGCCCGAAGCCCCTCTTTTGCAACGGTGTAGCTATCAGCCCGACGCTGTCAGCAGGATTGAACTGTTGGTCCTGCGAAGCAATTTGAAGTTCAAAGCCGTTGGGGAGCTAGGGACCCAAGAGATATATGGGGGTTAGGATGAGGGTATGGGGAGCCCCGTTTAGGATTCTAGCTAGACAATGCCCACTGCAAGGGATGCCGTTGCCAAACTGGGAATGAGCAGCCCACGTAACGACTGTGCAGCTGTACGGAATCAATCCCCCCGAAATCAGGGTATAAGGTCCTGAACACGTGGAAGTCAGTGGGAAGGGTTCCATACGGTTCTATGAGTGAGGAGATCTTGTGTCAATTTATCCGAGCAAGCAGCAGAACCGACAGGTGCAAGACCTTCGAGCTTCCCGGCATGTAAGGCCCCAAAGAGTTTACTGTTTCAGTGCTCCGGCCAAGGCATTAATTACTACAGCTACGCATGCTGTCCGCCTCAGCCACGTGGATGCTTGACTGCAAAACATCCACAGAACTGACGCAATTTCTTATCGACAAAACCGACCCTGAACCTCAGCCCCCCGCCCGCGCCAAAAAGAAAGCCAACTACCAATTCGGGGATAGCATCAAGAACATCTGCAACTGCACACAGAGCTTTCAGAGATCCTACATGCCTCAAAACACTGGCCCTTTAATTAAGTTGCCAGAATAAAGACCCTAATATGTACTATATACCTTTTTCATGCTAACTTAGATTCAGTACCTGACCGGCAACCCAGCAAAGTAGGGCTTAGGGCTTTAGTGGACACAAGCTCAGGAGCCCAAAGCCTCTACTCGCGGTTTTGGGCAAAGTTTCGGGTTCAGGGTTCAGGGGTTTAAGGGTTTAGGGTTCAGGGCCACAGTTTTGGGGGTTTAGGGAACCGGCTACCTTTTGCAAAGCCACATGAAAACTTATACAGGCCCCCTCCAGAGTGCAACACGCACTGGTCATTGTAAGAGTTCTTGTGGGTTTTCATCTTCGATTGGCTGGAGGACTGAATCATAAACACCGACCCCAAAAGCACCACACCCTAGATCCGAAACCTTCCAGCTCTAAATCCTAAACCTTCTACCCCAAACCCTAGACCCTATACATCCTCCGTCAGTACCAAGCTCGAAGGATGACTTTTGGCCGTGTCGACCCAGAACCGCCTGTCGGCTATGTCCAGGTTTAGGGTTTACGGTTTTCGGGCTTTCGGTTCTGGGATGTAGGGGTTATATAGGGATTACAGGGTATATATTGGGGATTATATAGGGATGATGGAAAAGGAAATTGAAACTACTAGATTAGATAGGGTTATATAGGGATAATATTAGGATTTAGGGGTATACTTGGAGGGCCAGAGGGACTTAGTATGTAGGTTAATAGTGGGGACAAGTGGCGCAGACCAACTCTCTGCCTGGTGACCACCCCCCCCCCTCCGCTGGGTGGCCTGGTCCAGCCCAGCCTGACCATCCCGTCAAATTCCAGCCTCGCCACAGGTTCGAGGCTTTCGCAGTAAGCGGGAGCGAGCATTTTTCGTCAGAAGCCTGTTTACAAGTTCCCCCCACCCCCACTAAAGGCTGACGGACTAAGCCCAGCCAAACCCCTCCATGAATGCTGGAACAGGCATGCAACAAACACGTCTGAAGTGAGGCTTGCCTCCGTTCCTAAGCCCCATGTGTCAACTACATGCCACGACCTATTCGTGTGCTCCGCTTCCCGTCAGCCGAGGCGGGCGCGCGATGGCGTTTATGATTAACCTACTTCCAGTGTCCCCCTGACCCTCCAAGTAGGATTTAGGGTCATGTCAAGGATACCCTTAGGATTTAAGATTATGTCAAGGATACCTTTGGGATTTAGGGTTATGTCAAGGATACCCCTAGGATTGAGGGTTCTGTCAAGGATACCCTCAGGAATTAGGGTTCAGGTTATGGGTTTGCGATTTAGGGTTTAGAAGTTAGGGCTTAGGATTTACGAGTCTAGGAATCAGGCTTAAGGATTTTTGCTCTAAGCGCTCAGGACTCAAATGAGGTATTAAGGTTAGGGTTGTGGACTCCACGTTTGAGGTCAAGGGCTTAGGGTTCAGAGGCAGTTCAAGCCTCAGCGGAATCCATAAGCGATCTACCTTGGGTCGTGGCCCCCCCCATTCGCAGTATAACGTAGGGGCCAGGTTAAGGGCTCTAAAAGGTAGACACCAAAATGCTATAATCCTTATTTCGAAATGGTACCCCCAATCACGGAACACCCCCATGTAGTGATACTACGGGTACAGAAATCCCGTACTCACAAACCAGCCCACAAAACCTAAGCCCTAAACAAACGAACCTGTAACCGCAGGAGCAGCCCTTCACAGACCACTAGCCTTCCAGTTTAGTCGGGGGGAGGACAATCCAGAATCCTGAGCACTACATAGATTCTAACCCAAAACCTGAGTCCCGAGCCCCAAAGCCTTTCCCCTTTACCCTAGTGCCCATGCTACCTGTGGCTAGCTAGGAACGAAGAAATAGATCTTTTATAGTAACCCCTATATAACCCATTATGGCAGTTTCCATTTTCCTTTCCAGTCCTTCATTCCCAGCCCTAAGCCCTAAACCCTAAGCCCTAAACCCTAAGCCCTAAACCCTAAGCCCTAAGCCCTAAACCCTAAGCCCTAAACCCTAAGCCCTAGCGATCCCTGAAGCAATGTCCTTCCTGCGAAGTGGGACGCACGGCAAGGGCTGGCAGATCTTCCATATGATTTGGCCTCAGGTTGCTTTAGGGTTAGGGCTTAGGGTCTAGGATTTAGGTTTTATGGTTTAGGGGATAGGCCCTGAACCCCAGGCAACCCCTTAATGATAAGGGTTTACGGGTTTAATATTATTAGGGTTTAGGGTTCCCCAGTACGTAACCCCTTAACAATACGGGTTTAGGGGTTTAGGGTTCCCCAGTAGCTGCTTAATGATGAGGGCTTTGGGTTTAGGGGTTTAGAATTTCCCACCAACTCCTGAATAATAAGGGTACCCATTTTCCTGATGTTCAGCTTTGCTCAGAAAATCCCCAAAACCAAAAGGGGAAAAGTGTACTACTGGGGTACCTAGAACTCTAAACCCTACTGCAGATGGGTTAGGGTTTAGGACTTAGAGAATGTATTTGGGGGTTTGCCAAACTTGAAGGTACCTTGTGGGGGTGCCTAGAATCAGGATTGTTGGAGTCTTTCTGGGGGTTCCCCTATTCATTGAAACTACAAAAAGGCATGAAACCCCAGACCCTCCACCATGAGGAGGTAGTTGAGGGCAGGCAAGTCGCATCCGAGGTCTTGATGCAGACACACCCGTTGGAGCAGTGAATCTGTGAGCGTGGGTTCGTGCAGGTAGCCTCCTTCGGGGACAGCAGACTCGAGGCTTTACCCTACGGGTTTAAATTATATCTTTCTATATGTAGTTATCATATTTTCCCCAAGACCTAAGTAACGAAATCTAATGGAATCCTCCCAGAGGATATGTTTATTGTATACTGGACCCTTAGGGTAAGGGCTAAATTCTTAGGATTTGCAGTTACAGCTTTCAACACGGAAGCCTACATGGACCTCTGCATGGGGACATTAACCTTTACAGGGAGCCCATGTATTTTGATGTATTTTGGGGGAGGGCTTTAGGGTTTAGGGTTTACACCACTTGTTTGACTTGAAAAGGAGGGCCCATCCAAGACTGGACCGCGCGTAAACCCGAACTATTTAAACTCCCTCAGCCCCAAACCGCAAAGTTTCAACCGCGGGAAGAACCTCGTAGCCAGGAATCTAAATGGGGGGTTCCCCATAGGCTGTGGTTGCGAAGGGCTGTGGACGGATTTAGGCGGAGAAACGCAAAAATTGCCCGAAAAGCCGAAAAGTCAAAAAGTTGTGTTTTGG